CTTTGCTTCCCTAATGATCTCCTCTCTCTGCCGTTTGCCCTTTTGCAGCCACGGGGGCCCTGCTTCCTTTCTGTCTAGGTAGCATAGTTAATAAAAATCTGACATTTAAAGTCTTTGTGGTGTTTGAGGAAAAAATAATTGTCCCAATTCATCACGATAACCAGGTAACAGTGGTTGGCACCTCACACTCAGACTAAATTCATACTTTTTTTTTCTTTTTGAGGTAGAGTCTATTCTGTAGCCTAGGCTGGAGTGCAGTGGCGTGATCTTGGCTCCGTGCAACCTCCACCTCCCTGACTCCAGTGATTCTCCTGCCTCAGCCTCCCAAGTAGCTGGGACTACAGGCATGCACCACCAAACCCAGCTAATTTTTGCATTTTAATAAAGACAGGGTTTCACCATGTTGGCTAGGATGGTCTCGATCTCTTGACCTCATGATCCACTCACCTCAGCCTCCCAAAATGCTGGGATTACAGGCGTGAGTCACCACGCCTGGCCTAAATTCATGCTTTTTACACTATTAAAAGAATACTTTTCCTATCACTTTATTTTTGCTTTTGAAAATTCAGTTTTAATTTTTTTTTTCACTTTCTTTGGCACCCATATCCCATAAGGAGTCTGGTTTCATCGATTCTTTCTTAGAAGTATAACTTTTATCTGTTCCTGTGTGTGTGTGTGTGTGTGTGTGTGTGTGTGTGTGTGTGTGTGTGTGATTGCTTTCCTTGTTATCTCACATCTGGACTATACCTTGGGATGCCTCCCTCCAATGCCTCTGTGACTTATTCTTCCACAGCTGGTAATTCCAGCTTGCTTCATTACTGCTCAACTTTATTTACCTACTGAGGAATGGCTACCAGCTCCCCACTGTCTAGGAAAAGAAGTAGAATCGCTCAAGGAGTATACCTCAAAGCATATCTGAGTCATGCTCATGAAGTGAGGTGTAAATCCAATCCACTCTGCTTTCCCGAGGCCTGCATAGTATGTCCTGATGTAAACCACATCACTGGAATGAGATGTAAAATGCAGTCTGTGCATTTCTTAGGATCAGGCTGCAGAGAGCCGCACCCAGCCCCACCTCTGCTGTATGCTTTCCATTCTGCCTCCTTCAGCCATACACACGTGCATGTCTGCCCCCTTCATTAGAATGCAAGCTCACTTTTGAAGCTCTGCAGACTCCCACTTGCTTCCACCTCACACAGAACCCAGCATTGTATTTTAAAATAGTAGTTCTCAACAAACACATAAGTGAAAAAGCCAGTCAGATGTTTAGAGGAGACTAAAAATCATCTAGCCAGTTGATTCAGCTCTTGAAGCTTCTTTGCAACATCTCCTATCCAGAGTCCTCAATGAGCATCTCCAGGATGGCATCAGAGCATCCGCATTGAAGATACAAATTCTGGCCACACTGACTGACCTGAATTCAAAACCCTGTTAGCGTCTTGATTGCCTTGCATGGGTTGCTTAAATGCTTTCAGTCTTGGTTTTCTTATCTGCAAAAGGGGGTAAGTAATATCATAGGGTTGTCAACATTTAGTAAGATGACACATGTAAAATGGTTACTACAGTGTCTAGCATGCAGTGAGCACTCAGAATTACACTGCCTGCTGTGAGCCTCTCGTTGCTTTTGAGATCATTTACTTTAGATTATAATTGCGACTTCAGGCGAGCCGTTCCACTTCAGATATTCAGATACTGCTGGAGGCAGACTTTCCAGAAGTCTAGTCTGGTGACATTCATAAACTACTACTTGTATTTTTAATAGACTTGTTGCTTCTCTGTGCACCTGTGCACAATTATAATCATTCACAGAAAAGGGTGCAAATGATCTTTGATCTTGGATGTCCTCAGAAGACTGTGACTGTATATTATGGTAAATACACATTAAAACAAAAACTACAAAGCCTTAAATAATGTGAAATGCTGATTGCTTTTGTTTTTCTTCCATTCTGGGTCGTTTTATCTGTCCTTTTCCATATTTTTGCTTAGCACCACAGCTGATGAGTCCACTGCCGTACAAAGGGCATTAGATGAGGAGTAAGAAATTGGCATTTACCTGGCTTTGTCACCAATTATCAGGGCTTAGACACTTCTTGGGCTCCCTTTTTCTTCTATGGTAATTCTTTCTCTGCTCAGAGTTTATTGTATGGTTAAACTGAAATAAGTAAAAATCATAATCCCTGTGCAAATGTGTAATGCAGAAATGTATTTGGCTTCAGTTTGCATTGGTTTTATAGGAATAGTGCATTATGCAATTATGTGTTACAAAATATAATTGTAGACCTAATGGCTTAAATCAGTATGTCTTGGGAGTTGACTAATGGGTTATTTAGAGATATTATATTCTGATTTCTAAATGACCCTTTGAGTACCCACATATTCATTCCACGAATATTTTGGAGCACATACTATGTACTAGGTTATAAAGCGCCATTTATTATCATAAGACCTATATTTTGTTTTAAAATCACGGAAAGTTTACTTCACTTTAAAGATAGCTAATTGCCTACTTTGTTCTCTCCTTGAAAAAGATATGATAGTGCTATAAAATAAAATTGGAATTTGCCTGTAATACACAATTATCAACTGAGACAGTGTTGAAAAGGAAAAACCTATCTACAAGAGGAAGGGCAAAATGCCTAAGCCTTTATTTTCCTGAAAAACGTGGCATAAGAGGGTATTTCTAATGCTTTATGATCAAAATGGGAAACATTTGCAGTCTGGATTTTTTAAACATGGTGAAATTTAGGGTTATTTTTGTTTGTTTGGGTTTTTTGTTTGTTTTTTTAAGAACAGAACATTTCTGTCTCATTTTATTCATAAGAAGGCTATGTGAGATCAAGTTGACTACAAAGCCTTGAATCTAACATTCAGTAGTTCTGTTAGCAGTGGGGCCCCTGGCTTATGAAAGCAATTAAGTCCTCAGAAATGTATCTACTAGAGATACAAAATCGTGCTGGCCCATCTGGTCTGATTTTAGCTTCTCAGCATTTCTGTAAGGTTCTGTAAGAGCCAGGACAGGGAAAGAAACAACAGAAATTTCATGCAGCATACTTGTCAAGAAATGCATTTCATAAATCACTGATATTTTGACTCACAGGACACAAAGGATTTCTATTACAGCCTATTACAATTCTATAATATAGCATTCGTTTCCAGTAGCAGCTAGTGTTTTGGCTGGAACAGCCTCCTTTGCTCATTCTGTTTTCTGCGGAATGGAGTCCTCAGTACAGCTTTCACGAGAATGGAGCAAGCTAACAAATGATCACAGGCCTTTGGTCTGTACCGACTAAGAAAGCAGGCTGAATGTACAAATGCATCTCATCTCTCTCTGTACCTGTTAAACTGTCTACCCCCTGCTCACTTCATGGACGTACTCCCTATACACCAGATCCCCAACTCAGAAGAGCCCAAATTTGGTTCCATGCTCTGCTGTCCCTGTCTTAAGATTCATGGTAACTTTTGAACAGAATCTACATGTTCATTTCACATTGAGTCCCACAAATTAGGTAGCCAGTTTTGTTACTCTTGGGCTTCACACTTAGAGAATACCCAATAAATGTTTTCGGAATGAGCAAAGTTCGTGTTTTTTTTTTTTTTTTTAAGGATTTACATAAAAGCAAGTAACCTTAATCTTACTCCATTTAATTTTGCTGATGTGAGGAGTGGAGGAGAGGTACCAAACTTTTAAGGAAAAATTTAAGATCTAAGAAAGGCCCAAAAATAGTTTACCCAATGCCTCTGTGCCCATCATCATAACATGGCAGCTACCATTTTATTCTATTAACTTAGTGGTTATTTAAAAATACAAAGCGGATGAAGTTGACCTACTGATCCCACCTCTAGTCCTGTTTTTCTCTCCACCTGCTCCCTGGGAGTTAAAGCACTAACATGAACGTTGTATCCTTCCAGTATTTGTTATCCCTTCACAGTGCCAGGAATAATACTTGGTAACGTAGTTCATGTGTCTTAACATTTATGTAAATGATAGGAACTACATGCACCAATCTGCAATTTGTTGTTTTTATTTGATATTTTATTTCTAAAATCTATCTACATTGATACATGTAGTTCTCCTCTTCATTCTTATTGCTGTATACAGTAGTAATGAAATCCCCCTTCTTCATCTGCTGCCCCACTTACAGAGGCTGTTTAAAGTAGAGCCGGAGGAGTCTTTCTTTGTATTTCAGCTCTGCCACTGCCCCTGGTAAAAGTCAGTAGCTGGGTGACACTGGGCAAGTTAAGCGAAAGTTCTGAAATTCCGTTTTCACTTTTGTAAAATAAGATTAATAATTTCTACCACTTAAGATGTTTTCGTGACAAACCAGATAATATATGTAAAATCTAGGTTCAGAAAATAGTGGCGGGAATTATTTTACACATATATATGTGTATATTTATGTAAATATGAGTATTATGAAGGCCCAAGTAAAATACATAACAGTGATATTGAATTGGCATTATTTAACTATTTTTATTGTACTCTTAACTTGGCTAGTGATCTTCTATTTTGTAATAAAAACAGTTCAACCTTAAAATGCGGTACTGAATACATCTTAGTCTTAGGTTCTTTCTTACAAAATTGAATGATATTACCCCTAACATATCTTCCATGGATGAAAAACCTTAAACTCGTACAACTATGAAACTACCGTATTATTTGTAAAATGGCACCTATGTTGTACTCTGTGCATAATTGGAAAAGAATATCTAGTGTTTTCCAACTTTGCAAAGCGGCAAATAATAGAATGAAAATTCTGGAATTCCATCAGACCAAAACTGTGCTGCCGCAGAGACCCCAATTGCAATGAGAAATTAAAAACCTAAAAACAGATTGAGCTTATTTTTTTTCATGTTCTCGGCAAATTTTGTAAAAATCCGAACAGAAGCCAATGTTAATTAGTATTCCAAGGTGATTGAAATCTGTGATCAAGTAAGGAGCTTGAAATAACATTCTGAATCCTCCTGTGATTTTAAAGCGTTATATTTTGGTTATTCAACAGATTTTACACGATTCGCTACCGAGAAAAGGATAAAGAAAAGAAGTGGATTTTTCAAATCTGTCCTGCCACCGAAACAATCGTGGGAAATCTAAAGCCCAACACAGTTTATGAATTTGGAGTGAAAGACAATGTGGAAGGTGGAATTTGGAGCAAGATTTTCAATCACAAAACTGTTGTTGGAAGTAAGTACCCAGAAATGTTGGTTTCAGTAAACTTTTGTAAGTTTTTTTCTTTTTTCTTAGTTACCTAATTTTGAATTATATCATTCATTGTATAATATGAAATAAGCTGATTCCTAAGCTCTAGTGTTTCTGAAAATATAGAAGAAAATTGAACACATTTTCAATATTGAAAATATTGAACAATGATATTTCATAATCTTTTGTTATGTGATTTTTAAAATGAGTAATAAATATTATACCTCCACTGATGTCATTGGCTATTGTACTATAATAGTTTAAAATCAATCCCTGACCTGCAAACACTAACTGAACCAAAAAACAAAACAAAATAAAACACATACCAATGTTCAGAATGGTAAGCCTGACCAGGAGAGGTTCTCATAAAAAGACTTTCAGGAACCCTGAGCTTTCTTCCAGTTATTCCTTCATTAAAACTTCATTGGAATCAGTGTTTGAAATGATACCAATTAAAATTCTCCATCCAAGTTAGAGGACAAGTTGTAATTGTCTTCATAATGATTAGCTAGAGTTGACTTAGGAGCAAGAAGACTAGAAATAATGTCATTTTCCTCTTGTTTCATCAGGTAAAAAAGTAAATGGGAAAATCCAAAGTACTTATGACCAAGACCACACAGTGGTATGTAACAGTTTATTTTCAAGAATATTTTTTAAAAGCTGTATCTGCCTTGTTAAGGAAATAGTTTTATTATAAGATACTGAAATTAGATTAACTGACTAGCTATGAAACATTGGATAAAGTACTTAGTCTTAGGAATCAGTTTCTTTTTCCAAAAACTAAATAAAAGCATGATTTCAAATCATCTCTGATTTGAAGTTCTAAAATTCTGAGATTCAATGTAGCTTATTCTAGTATTTCAGTATTCTGGGTATTTCGAGGTTATGCATATATTAGCTTCTGTAGATTGCTTTTTATTATAACGTTTCAAGAGCAAATGGATACATGCTTTAGGTACATTGCTACAGCTCAAACCTTTCCTTTCTATTTTCTATCCTATCCTACTTTAAAGAGCCAGTCTTTTTCACCATGATGAAGGAATCAGTTTGATTTTGTAAAATGCCTAGCCTCTGTTCAGCTCAGACAATGTTTGTGTTTTCTGAACCAGGCATTTCCCCATGAATCTAAAAACATCCTTTTCTGTCACTTCAGCCACTTGGTTTCTCGTGCTCTCTTTCCTTCCACTTTTCAAAATCTATTTTCAGGAAGCATCATGTCAAGTATACACCACCCGATCTGGGATGACAGTAAGTCATTGTTAGAGTCACAACAGAAATGTTCACATCTCAAATCTCATACCCACTAATTAGTGCCAAAATAATTGCAGCTTTTGACATTGAAAGTAACAAAAGACATTATGTTATTGGGCAGATAGAGGAAGCACTTTGGTGAAAAGAAGGGAATTTGGTGCTGGCTTTGGTCCCTAGATATTGGAAATATCCTGCAGTCAGATTAATGTGCAAAGGCTATTTGTGGGTGGAATTTTGCTCTCTAAGATGCATGCTTCAGATGTGTGGATGAATATCTTTTTATGTGTAATTAAATAGTCCACAGAATACCCCCATGGATCACGGGCCCCAGTCTGGAAAAAAAAATAGTAGTATATAATTCACTGGGATTAAAAAATAAAAAAAGGAAGATTGGGTTTGGTGACAGAAAATAGTCTTAGGTAAATAGAATTGACTAAAAATCCGCATAAGGCAAATGTTGTTTATGTGGTTTGAAATGGAAGAAAAATGTGTTCATTGTGAAATCATCATCAAATAATAATTATGAGAATATTTTGATGTTTTCAAATATTAATACAAAAAAAAGAGATTGCAGATAAATTCCTAGGCCTGTTATTTCTCTTCTCTTCTCTTCTCTTCTCTTCTCTTCTTCTCTTCTCTTCTCTTCTCTCTCTCTCTCTCTTTTTCTCTCTCTCCCTCTCCCTCTCTCCCCCTCTCTCCCTCCACCCCCTCTCTCTCCCTCCCTCCCTCCCTCCCTCCTTGTCTGTTTGGTTGGTTTCTTGTTTTTAGATTTTGCTGCTTTTCTAATTGTCTAATACTTAAAGATTTAGAATGTTAAGTGGGAAAAGAAGCATTAACAAGGTTATCTGTAACAAAGCTACCTATAAGGGTCGTATAAAACCTTTAATAGTCTGGTAAAACCTTAGAAGATCTTTTGTTTTCTAAGCATGTTATCATTACAAACTAAAATCATACTATATATGCAGTTTTTCATCTTGCTGTTTTTACTTGGTCAGAGAGATGAACATATTTCATGGCATCAAATGCTCTTAGTAAACATATTTTTAATTGCTGTGTACTGTATCATCTAAATACATGATTATTACGTTTCCAATTTGTAGGAATTTAAGTTATTTCTAATTGTTTTTAAATTGTGGGTGATGTTATAGTGAATACTTATGATAAAGCTTTGTTCACGATGCTGATCATTTCCTTAAAATAGATACTTAGAAGAGGAATTAACAGTTTAGAGTTTTAACTTTTTTATTATACTTTAAGTTCTGGGGGTACATGGGCAGAATGTGCAGGTTTGTTACATAGGTATACACGTGCCATGGTGGTTTGCTGCATCCATCACCCCGTCATCTACCTTAGGCGTTTATCGTGTTATCCCTCCCCTATCTCCCCACCTCCTGTTATCCCTCCCCTAGGCCCTCACCCCCTCACAGGCCTTAGTATGTGATGTTCCCCTGCCTGTGTCCACGTGTTCTCATTGTTCAACACCCGCTTATGAGTGAGAACATGCAGTGTTTGGTTTTCTGCTCTTGTGTCTGTTTGCTGAGAATGATGGTTTCCAGCTTTATCCATGTCCCTGCAAAGGACATGAACTCATCCTTTTTTATGGCTGCACAGTATTCTCTGGTGTATATGTGCCACATTTTCCTTATCCAGTCTATCACTGATGGGCAGTTGGGTTGGTTCCAAGTCTTTGCTATTGTGAACAGTGCAGCCTTCCTGATACTATGGTCAGATTCCTTTGCAGAAAGTGGTACCAATTTGTAAACAACTTGCCAGCAATTTATCAGTTTATGTTGCTATAGTACTTTGCTTGTCAGCTTTGTATATTTTCTTTTTTTTTGGGGGGGGGGACGGAGTTTTGCTCTTGTTACCCAGGCTGGAGTGCAATGGCACGATCTCGGCTCACCACAACCTCCGCCTCCTGGGTTCAGGCAATTCTCCTGCCTCAGCCTCCTGAGTAGCTGGGATTACAGGCACGCACCACCATGCCCAGCTAATTTTTTTTTGTATTTTTAGTAGAGACGGGGTTTCACCATGTTGACCAGGATGGTCTCGATCTCTTGACCTCGTGATCCACCCGCCTCGGCCTCCCAAAGTGCTGGGATTACAAGCGTGAGCCACCGCGCCCGGCTGTATATTTTCATCACTACATTTTTGGCTAATGTAATAGCTTGTAATCGTTATCTTGATCTTTATTTCTCTGATTGTTGATTAAGCAGTACTTTCTTCACTTGTTTATTAGCCAGTTGTATTTTCCATTTAATGATGTTCTATTGCCGTTCTTTGTTTGTTGGCTCTTTCCTGGGTTCTTTTAAGGCTATGTAGTCTAAGACTGTATATACTGAAGAAACATTGGCCTGTTGATGATACTATCTAGAAATATTTTCTCACATTTGTTATCACTTAAGTTTGTTCATAGACATTTTTGAAATAGACAACTCATGAAATTTCCTTAACCAAATTAGACTTTTCCATTGTGATCTCTTAAATTGCGTTATGTTGTAGAGAGACCCTCCCTCTCCAGAGAGCAGATAAATATTTCTCCCTGTTCTTTTAGTTTTATGAGTGGTTTGATTTTTATAATAATTCTGTAAATTTTATTTTACTATGGTGTATAGTAAGGTTCTATATTGATTAGGCTATGTATTTCCCCCCAAATAACCAATTGGCTTAGTACTATGTATTGAATGGTGCCTCCTCCTGAGGTCCCTTCACGTTTGTCTCTTAAATCCAGTCAATGTTGTATGGCAGAGGTAGATGTGCTGTACCTTACAGGCAAACAGCAGGATAGAGCTGCTCTTTCATCCTCTTCTGGAGCAGCGCCCATTCTTTGCTGTGAATGGTTTCCTAGGAAGCATACATTGTCCTCACCCTCCTCGGCTATCATGCCTAACCTTCACGCGACTCTGTGGTGTCATTTCTTTCATTCCCTTTTTTTCAGCGTCACATCCCAGTAATTTGTATTTGTCTTGGCAAGATATTTCATTTAGGATGAGTTACTCAGCAAGATTGAGAAAGACGATCGATGTTTTACTCTCCGGGAATTAAAAAAATTTTTTTTCTTCAACATAAGCAGCCACGATAGGAAGGGCTAGGGAGCAACTTCCTGTCTCTGTGACACAGAGCCAGGTATTTTATCCCTTCAAGCTGTGAGGTGGAGTACCCCACTCCAGCCAGCTCTGATGAGTTTAAAACTCTTCATTGTTTCCAAAGGAAAAACCAAATTCATTGAAAAGATATTTTAAGCCTTCTTTGAGAAGCTTTATTATTTCCTTCTGGAAAGAAAAAAAAAAATGACCTTACATCTCTGCTCTCAGGTAGCTCTGGGACATGGGGTAGTTGTGACAAAACTGGATGGGACAACTTTGACCATCTTATGTCACCACATAGAATTGATTCTGAAAACTACTTTGATACTTTAGAGGTATATTTTAGTCCAAAGAAGTGTATGCCCAATTATTTACCCATCTCCCCCTTTGAGACTGATGTTTGAAGGTAATATTTTAAGAGATCTGAAATTAATTACACATGTTTTGCTTTCAGGATTTTAAGCAAAAAGACACACTGAAAACTTTTTTTATTCATATGAACATGGTTACATCTGAAACCTTAGAAGCAGCAAAAACTCTTGAACACCTTCCAATAAGAGGTATTCAAAATGGAAATGAAAAACCAACTTGAACTTTAGGCTATCCATTTTAAAGATAAATACTTTTTAGGTGAAAAATTTGGATATTAAATGCAGCCCATCCTACCCTTCTGGTTACACTATATATTGTAATTCACATATCTAGATATGTGTTCTGGCAGGAAAGCCGTAGGACAGTTGTGCCAAGGGGCATATAGCAGGGATCTCTTCTGATTGGTTAGTGCCTTTGTTCTACCAATTGTTAAATGTTTTCAATATTGCTCCGAGCTATGCCACTAGAAAAAATCAGAGAAAGGGTATATGCAGAAACAAAACAGTTACTTTATACAGAAAGAATAGAAAGTAAATCACTAGAGATCCATACGATTGAGGAATCAAAAAATACATTTATCATGATGATTGTACTATTTTTTTTTTCCGTTTTGAGAATCTAGGATACTCTTTTGTGGAGGTAAAACCTAAAGTTTACTATTAGGTTTTATTGTCTTAAAAAATAAGGAATGGTGGCTAATATTTTCATATATTTTCCATGTTTAAAAAAAATGTGTTACTTAGCTAGTAAACCAAAATCAGTATTTGAAGTATGTAGCATTTATTAACAGATTTTTTAAAGCAAATTTAATTATTTAATCCAAATCTTCTAGAATCAATGTTCTTCTAAAATATGACATCTATTTTTATCTTTTTTATTTTCCATCAGATATCCACCCATATTTTAGGAAATC